ATGACACGAGGTAGTTCTGCTCACATTTTTTTTTACCACTCCAAGTGAATCCGCACAACAAATCACAACACACAAAAAGGCATACAAAGCACGTCCCCACTCACACACATCACATCCTGTCTCTGTGTGTAAGTAGAGACCCCTACGGACAAAGTCTTCAGCTGGTGCATGGGTTAGGGTTAGGTCTCACTCAAATGGTCTCACTGCTTGGCAGCATGCCCTTTCTGCACTTTTTCCATCCTCTTTTTTCTGGCATCAATCTTGTAAACTTTCTGGAGTCCATCAGAATGAAAGTCACTAATATCTGACTAAAACTATCTGAACATGCCTTAATGCAGACACCAGGAATAAATGTTTTTTAATTTAGAGAATTTCAAAAAAGTTTTCTACTCCTATTTCCTGCAATAGCTTCTGATAAAACAGGGGTGCCCATTCATGGTCCTGCTGGGCCATAATCCAGCATGTTTTTGTGGTTTCACTGCTCCTACACACTTGATTCAGTGGTTGAATCACCTGTTCCGCAGTTCATCAGGCTCTGCAGAAGCCAGTTAATCACCTGCTGATTGAATGCAGGTGTGTTGAAACATGGTTAACTAAAACATGCTGGATACTGGCTCTCCAGGACGAGGATTGGGCACACCCTGGAATAGAAAATACACAAATCTACATCACGCTGTCACTTAACATTCGTGGACTCACCCATCCTGACTAGTAACGGGGAAGGCTGTTGTTGTTTTAGAGTCCAGGAAACAGCAGAGATCTTCTGGACTAGTAGAAGCTAATGGTTAGCATTTAGCAACGTCACCACATAGCATATCTCCTTACGGCTTCTGTTATTGTGGAAATAAAACATTAATTTTGCAGAGTCTGTGAACCATGTTGCTGTTAGCCAATCAGAGGTAAGATGTTCAAAAAACAGGAAATAAGACTCTGTAAGTCCTGCCATCTTCTGCTATTTTCTCCCCCAGCTGACTTATACGTCCCAAACAGGAGCATCAGAGCTTTTGTCCCCAGCGAACGACTAACAAGGCATTCATTCCTACTAGAGACCATTGCAAATGCATAAAAAGTATGAGTAAAGCTGATCTCTAATTGAGTGTGGTCATTATTACTTTTTCCTGCTGAGTATTGCTGATGTAAACATGAGCTCATTTGATGCTGTTGGCCATTTTTTTTTACCTAGTTTTATCTCATTTGCACCGAAAGGCCAGTTATTTAGAGCTGTTACGGCAGTGCAGCACCACTTAGATTGGAGGATTTCCAGATTCATGAGATACTGTAAGCTGACACAAATCTTCAATGCAAAGAGAAACGGCTTCGTAGCTTTGATTGATTTGTGGACAGGCAAAACTTATGCGTGTCCAAATGCTTAAGTAATGGAAAAGCCATCCTCTACTCTCTTGGCTTCTTCCGGCACACCAAAATTACAGCCCTAATTGATCTTCTCTGACGATCGCTTTTGGTCATTCCTTCTGTCTCGCACTGTTTCTGCTCTTCCTGGCTTTTTTTCATTTCATAATCAACTATCTCCCCTTCAATTAAATGACAACATTTTTAATTTAAACAAACTTTACTTCGTCATTTGTCTTCTTCTTTGTTTGCAGAGCTTTCAAAACTGTGGCACACTTGGATGAAGGCCACAAAGGAGGCATCTGCAGTCCGTCGGGCTACATGTCAGAAATTCTGAACTAAACCAAACTCAGAAAAATAATGTTGATTAAGAAAAAATAAAGAGACAAAGGGAAAGTGTATCCTTCTCTGTGAGTGGGTGGTCATAGTGGTCGTGTGTCTTTGCCAGCTCTTTTACGTGATGATTTGACATTCCTGCAGCAGGCCAAACCATTTCTTCGTCTTTTGTTCTCCCAACCGAACTTCCAATTTTTATAATCACTGAGTGCCTGTTCTGAACTCAGATTCTGTTCATTCATACCATTTTACTGCTACTTTTACAGGGCATAAATTGGATATATGATAATAAGCACCTCTGGCGACGGTTTCAAAACCCTAATGAAAAGTTTGTAGTGTATTTTCTATAAAATGTATGCACATTTTATAGCTCTCCCTTTTTCAGAGAGGTTTAATCTCCTCCATCAAAATATTTTTTAACCATTTAAGTAATCAGAAATTATTTCCCGACTCCTAACAAAACCTGAGCAATTGCCTTGATCAAACCTCCAAATCATATTGCTGCTTGACTTCTCTCGCCAACATCGCTGTATCTATCGGCACGTTATGTGGCCGTATAATTTAAACAGTGTGACTGTAACTTGCTGGCATTGTTTTGCCGGGCAGAGGAGCCAGCAAGGCCTGTGAGTCTTTCTTGAGGTTCTTGGGGAACACCACATCCACCCTGCTGAATAACAAGACCAGACAAAGTATGTGAACAATGCCCAAACAGGTCATGTTACAAGCAAAACAATCATTCACCAGCACTGAAACAGATTGCAAAAGACGTTAAATGTGGATGAGCATAGGGGGGGGGGCAAAGTGACTTTTGCATAAACAAATAATTTCCTAATTTCTTTATTTTTCTGCATTTCTAAAACTTTGCAGGGCTGGAATGCCATACCAGTTGTTCATTTTGTCTCACTTTGTTTTGTGGTTTCCCTTTTTGTCATCCTCATGTTTTTACAGCGGTCACTCTGTGGAAATACTGCTGAAAGCTTACAGTTTTTCTAAACCAGTTATAAATATTTCTCAATACTTAATTCACTTTTACAAAACTTCCCCTGCAGTAGGAAAAACAGTTAATGTGGACCAAAACATGATTCTTTTACCCCCACCTCCCACTAACTCCACCGCTACCACCAACCAGCCACCCGCTTTCCAGTAAATCTTCACTAACATAACAATCGTACCCACAAATTGTGCAATATTTATGGCATCAAGTCCTGGAAAGGGGGTGACAATATTAGATGATTAGGGCAAAACCATTATTCGTTGTAGTTGTGGGTCCATCTCAAGCCCCACAATGCGGGTCTGAAAGTGAGGCCAATGCGGAAGTGAAATAAATTGCAGTTCCACCCTCATTTGCTGGGGGCTGGTGTCAGAAGCGAGCAAATCCTCATTGACTTCCATGTTAAAAATACCAATTTCACAGCAGAAATAAACATGTTTACAGCCTGGTTCTAAAACATGTTTTAGGTTTAATTGATCTAGTTTATACTCATGACAACTGAGGGGGGTACATTTTTTGTCTCTCTTCTGTTTAAGTGTATTAAAAACCTAAAATTCTGACTAATTAATGAGCATCAGACCCACGTGACTACAGAGCTAGCTACGTGGAAAGGCCTCAGTAGCCTCAGTCTGACCCTCGGTCTCGCCTGAAAACTTTTCTGTGATTTTTAGTCTCTGAGCTCAGTAGTTGTAGAGTTTGTGTATTCTTTTTTTGGATATTATTTGTGCAATTGTTGGACAAAATGACTTGCTGTGGTATTAATTGCACTAATTGAGCATCCAAGGAGTCTCCACTTCATTTTTTTCGGTAAGTAAAATTATATTTATGTATTTTAGGTCACTGCCGCTTTTGCACTAGCTGAGCTTATCAAAGTAGCTAGCTAACTACAATTTTAACATGTACTGTGCAACAATGAAATTTAGATGTAATATGGTAAAATAATTAATAGGATATATGTCTACGGGTGTAAAACCCAGTGCATTTAACATAAAAATTGGTTGAAATATGACATGTTGGTGGAGCTCTCAGAGGGAGACTTCTGTGTTCCATTCTTCCACCCGGGTCTCCCCAGCGGTCAGCCTGGCACATCTCATCGCTTTGGCTCCTGTCTGCTGTGCCGGCTGACCACTTGTGGAGCTTTTGGACTCGAAGAGAGACCTGACCACAGAAATACTGCAGCTCGGTGAGTTGGTTGATAGTGCTTGATGTTAGTCTCCAGAAGTCTGAATGCCATAAGATAAACTCGCTCATTTTTTATTTTTTGCATATTTGTAAAATAGTGTTGTAGGGAGCGACTAAATAACTAATTTGTCCACAAAGAGCAGTGACTGGGTGCCCTGTTCTCATGGGAACTAGTGTGGTTTAATAAAATAGAAATTAGTTCATAAAACTGATTATTAAAAGGTTCGTAACACTTACTACGTAACATTCAATGGAGAAAAATGCACTTCCATTTTCACTATTGAATGTTGGATGCATTTAGCTGAGAGCCTGCATGAATGGGGCCTAAGTATACACTGACGAAGCTATCCTATAAGCAGCCAACTTTTGAACATTTCAAAGAGTGAGACGGGGTTGGGAGCGGACAATTCGCCGACCGTTTAGAGCGGGGGGGGGGGGGGGGGGGGTATTAATATTGACTTTATTTATTTCTACTCTGTACGGAAGAGGATTAGAGCCACTGACAAGGAAAAAAAGAAAAAAAAAAGAGAATTCTTACTTTTTTCTCAGAATTCTGACTTTTAACCTCGGAATTGTGACAGGAAATTCTGGGAAAAAAGTCTGAATTCTCTTTCCTTTGTTCTTTTTTTTCTTTTCAGTGGTCCTAATCCTCTTCCATACCTCTGACTTTACAGAGGGAACTGACCTTTGTTTAATATAAATTTTCTTTTTGTGAGAAAATTTTACATTCAACTCTCCTGAACTTCTTCACATTATCTATCATCTATCTATCTATCTATCTATCTATCTATCTATCTATCTATCTATCTATCTATCTATCTATCTATCTATCTATCTATCTATCTATCTATCTATCTATCTATCTATCTATCTATCTATCTATCATTTATCTATCTATCTATCATTTATCTATCTATTCATCTATCTATCTATCTATCTATCATTTATCTATCTATTCATCTATCTATCTATCTATCTATCTATCATCTATCTATCTATCTATCTATCATCTATCTATCTATCTATCTATCTATCTATCTATCATCTATCTATCTATCTATCTATCTATCATCTATCTATCTATCTATCTATCTATCATCTATCTATCTATCTATCTATCTATCATCTATCTATCATCTATCTATCTATCTATCTATCTGCAGTAAAGAGTTACAGGAACTTTTAATTATAATTAATGTAAATGTTTAAAATTCCATCTAGGGGTGGGCAATATCATGTCATTCATAATATTACCAGTTATTATTTCCTGCCAAGACAAAAAATCTATCATGTTAAGCTAACTTCATGATGTAATTGCATCCACTAAACTGAAGATTATGTTCATGTGGGTCATCAGCATGAAGTTATTGAAGTTATCAAAGCAAACATGGCTGGAATCAGTTTTACTGTCATCTGTGTCTCTAAGTGTGTGTGCTGCTGTAATGAGTGGATGCCCCCACTGTGGGACTAATAACATTTGCTCAATTCTAATCTATTAACTCATATCAGCCAGTAGGAAAGAAAACGTTAGAGTAATTTTGGCCTTAAGGCTTCCGTACCAGTAACCTGGTTATGGAGGAGGGGTTCGTCTCACAAACAGGAAAAACACTGGTGAAGTGGTGAATTAAAACATCAGGATTCCAAATGTTTCAATTCCCCGCGTCACCAACTAATGTAGGAGAGAGAACGTGTGAGTGAGTCACCACGGTAGAAAGCCCAGCTTGCTGTGAGCGAGAGTAGCGAGCGATCTGTGCCTGATGAGTGAAAACAAAAGAAAAACATTCAGGACTGAAACTCCGTCAACACCGGCTGGCGAGGTGGCTGCATTTCTAAATAAAGCATGTCGTTATGGTGGTGCGCGCAGCCGCAGCTCACGGTTCTGGGAGAAAGAACCAGGCATGCCCATCCCATCAACAGCAGGTGGAGCTCACCACTCCACCCATCTCACAACCAGAGCGGAGAAAAAGCACATCGGCTTGGATTATACAGATGGGATTTTGTGTGTGAAATAACGCCAGTTAAAGTATTACTGAAGTGTTGTTTGTGTGCATGTTGTTCAGTAGCTAATGCTATAATTAATATCATGTTTTTTCATAAACCCTACACACTGTGCGTGATGTGCGTTTGGGGAGCGCAGGCACTGGTTTAGCGTGAGATATTGGAGGTGTGGCGTGAGAGCGTGTGAAGAGGGTCAAATGCATGTGTCTCACGCTCAGTAAGTGAGAGTTGGCAGCTCTGCTATAAGTTTGACCCCAACATACAGGATGCTACACTAAGTAGTAAATGGACTTAAAACAGTCAGGCACTGTTTCATTTACTGTTACATATAAGGTGATATTCTAACATTTATGTATTTACTGTAGAACTAAGAGAACAAAGTGACCACTTGATAAAGTTCAGAGCAAAAGTTACAACATGCAAAATGCATATGCAGCCTTCTCAGTTTTCTGGTATATATTTGATGACATATTTCTTGATAAGTTGATGTTACATTGAAGAAAAACAAAAACTATCTTAAAACTAAAATCATTTTGATATGTTATTGCACAGATACGCTGTACTGTTGAATCCCAGCAGTATGGGGTTTTTGGTTTGTTTGTTTGTTTGCTCTATTTTTTTCCTAGCAGGTATTCATTTCTCCCTGCGGTTGAGTTCCTGCCACCACCCCCAGTTTTGGCAGCTGAACGTCATCAGCTTATGCAAAAGTAAGATTTAAAGATCCTAGTATCTTTGGTGATCTCACGCCAAACAAACATCCTTTGTGCTAAAGGTGAAATTCATTCAAGCTGATCGTTAACCTGCTGACCTCTATAACTTTATTCCTATTCCTACTTCCAAAGAAACCCCTGTGCAGAGTCCTTTAGACACGTACGTGAAGTTGCTCCCCCCCCCCCCCCCTCTTCAAATCTAACAAAATTGGTGTCAAACATTTGTGCCACGTTTGTGCTGGTTTGTGCTGCAATATAATAATGATATATCAAGAATATGAAAATAAATGTAATAACTATAAGTGTCATGCTGGAACGAAGACGAAAAACTATATACATATTTACAAGAAAGTAACACGACCACTCCTTTCTGCATCTAATCAACACAATGACCCACACAGTAGAGGCTAATGATGCAAATGAACCGTGAGGAGGTACGGAGGAGGTGTTTTGCAGGTGACAGTTTCTGCTTGTCAAGCAACAATAGACAGCAACAATAAGATCGACCCTCCTATATTCATGAAACCAAAGAAGTCCAGTGGCCTTCATTCAAACCCAATTTGAATTATCATGCAGATGCCTCACTCATTCATGCCAGGTGTGTGACTGCAGGTAAACACTGGTGTTTGAAAAGGGGTTTGACCTGGGATAACCTTTGGAAACTTTTATTTATATCTTTTCAATAACAGCAGGACACTTTTTTGCTGCACAAACCTGCACAAACATTTGACACCAATTTTGTTTGGTTTGCTTAATGTGGGGGGGCTGGTTGACCTTTTGACCTTGAACCTTTCACTAATATCTGTAAAGTAAAATCAGCACAAACACAAACTTTAGCAGCACAAACCAGCACAAACATAGCACAAATGTTTGACTCCAATTTTGTTAGATTTGAAGAAGGAGGGGGCAACTTCACTTAGGTCCTTCAGACTCCTGTTTTCCAAACTCTCTCAGCTAGAAATCTCCCCTCTTCTCTACTGCTACTTGATTCTGGCCACTCTCACTCAGGACGTTCAACCGGAAGCTCTCAACTGTCCACATTTGACTAAACGGCAACATTTTTTCAGTCTGACTAAAAGTCTGTTTAGTTTGTCTCATAATCATGACAGTGATGTCATATTGAACAACAGTTGTATGTGATTCTAATTTAAATTATTCTGTTTCAGGTGGAAATGCTGTGTGATTCCTGTGTCCTGTGGTCCATGACCTGTGTTAGCCCGGTTCTGGATGTGGCCTTGCTGAGTTGTCTGTAGCAAGGTGCTCGGCTGTCTGGGAGGTGGTCTGAGTTGGTTCCGTGCTCTGTGGTGGCTGCTGGTTTCCTGGTGCTTGGGGCGGTTCCAGTCTGGAACTTCCAGAGTGCACCTGATCCTTGGAGTCTCACACTTCACATCCCAGCACACGCACGAACACGTTTGTTGATGTTTGTTGTTCATTGTTTACATGTTTATAGTTGTTCATCCCACGTTTTCTTGATGATTCTTAGAAATGTTTCTTCACAGGTGCATTAGCTGGTTGCTGTTTTTTATGTTGGTTTCCTAGTTGTTTTTGTTTTCCTCTCTTATTTACTTGTTTGTCCTCTATCAACCCTCTTTATTCCCGATTGGTTCAGCATTTACATGCTAATGTGGCAATACATGACCCAAAGCAATATTACAATAACATAAATTTTTATTCAAGGGGAACCTCGTACACAAAAGGCTCCTCTTGATAGAGCAAATCTGTTCAGCACATTCTGACAGACAGATGACCATTCTTCTGGCATGTTGCTGTACAGGATATGTGTAGAGATTTTCTTTTTAAAGATAAATAGTATTACATTTAAAGAGCAATACTTTCACATTATCATTTTCCCACACTTTCTGTATACCTGTATTTAGTTGTTTTTCAATAAAGAATGACAAATTATTTAAGTTTGGTTTTTTTGCACACAAATATCTATTTGTAAAAAATATGTACAAATATCTACAAAGCTAATATTTACATAACAAGTGTGATTGGGTTTTGCAATACGGCAGCCTCTAAGGTTTAGTTTAGTATGATTTTTAAACCAAGTAAAGTTAGTAAAGAACACATTTCTATTGGCTGCTAGGAAACTGTTGGACTTAACATGGGCCTGTTGTAGAAATAACTTGGCATAAATGATTCTTCCTTCCTTTTTTGTCTTAACCAAAGAAATTCCAGTAATTGAGCAAAAACATTTTTTTTTACATTAGGTTTTTTAAAATAACAGGACACAAAGTGTCAGTACATTAAAAAAATGTAAAATAATAAAAGGGGCCCAGAAAGCTACAGGGTGAGTGGAACATTGGGTTGTGAAGGAAGTGCAGAGTTGTCAACAGTGTTATGGCTATAGCTAAATTATATCAACAACACATTAGCTATAACAGTCAGGGATACGGTTATCCAGTTTGCCTGAAAATAAATCTGTCCTAAAGGCCAAATTCAAAAGCAGCGAGACTCCCACCTGGAAGTATTTCACTGCTTTTGGAGCTGGCCATCAAGAATATCGGCAAAATTACCTTAAAAAATATCATTTCCCCCATTTGTGAAATGAACTTTGTCTGACAAAAATATCCCTGGCCTGTCATGTCTGATGTGAGGATGCACAACAACTGCACCATTTAAGCTAGAAATAAATGTAGCCATAACACTGTTGACAAACCTCCTGACCTTCTCAATTTTAGCAGGGTTTACACCTGCCCTCCAGCTACACCTGTGGGTGATGGATGACATGATGATCATCATAAGAGGGTGTAGAAGGTGAAGCAGGTGCAGGTCATCCTTCATCATGTTGACCAGCTTCACACTGCTGACCACCCCATTTCAATGACGCCACAGTGGATGAGAAGGACATCAGGAGCTGCTCTTCCATGCAGGGAGTGGAAAAAGAAGGGGAGAGGGTCTTTCCACCTCAGTCCGCCCCAACCAAACCAGGACACTCTGACGTCAGGAAGGCCAAGGTTGTCTCCGAGGGTCTCTGCAGCTCTCTCGGCACCACGCCTCATGTAATTGTCTCCAATGATCCAAATGGCTATGTAGAAAAAAAATAACAGGTTTGGCCTAGCTGTTTAAAGTACTAAAACATACATGAAGCTGTCAAGACAGGTATTTGGTACCTTCACTTGCTGCTTTGTGTAGCCGACATTGAAGACACACAGGCTGCCATGGTGACCTTTTAACAGATCTAAGAAAAAAATGTAATAAAAGAATGAAACAAAATCTCCCAGACCTCATTTCATGCTTGCTAATCAGCTAAGGCCCATTTATTGTTTGGATCACAGTGAGTTACACTAATTCTAATATATTTTTATTTCTATTATACATACATACTTTTTAATTATTATTTTCACATGACTGTTATCAGGCTCTCTTGTTCTGGTTCTCATGATAATTCCATTTCTTCCAGTAAGTTATCTTGTGCTTACGTCATCTGTATAATGTCTCGTTACTTTTTATGAATTGTACTGAGTCCAGAATAAAGGCTACTTGGCTTTACAAGATACAAACAAGTGTTACATTTTAGAAATATATGAAATTTATTTAGCCTGCTAATTTATCTCAAATAGTAATAACTACCATATTTTCCAGACTATAAGTCTCACTTTTTTATAGTCTGGCCAGTCCTGCGACTTGTACTCCGGAGCGATTTATATACCAAACTATGTAGGCTATACCGCGCTGCTGCTGCGGGCTGGTTCCGGACCAGGAATGAGCTCTCCTGCCCCGCTGGGAATAAAAAACATACAGCCATCACCTGCTGGAGCCTGTTGCGCACTGGATCCGGCCCAGGTTACAGCTCCTCTGCCCCGCCATCACCTGCTGCAGCTTGTGGTGCACTGCTGCGGGCTGGCTCCGACCCAGGAATGAGCTCCCCTGTCCCGCTGGGAGGGTCTCAAACACTGCCATCCTCTGCTGGAGACCGTGGCACGCTGCTGCGCCCGCATTGTTTATTCTGTTATTGTTACCGGTACTTGTCTTGCAATGTGAAATGCTTGGTCTCAGATTTTGTAAGAAAAATAATACAATTTTCCCCCCAAAATGCGACTTATAGTCCAGTGGAACGTACATATGTTTTTTTCTTCTTCATTATACATTTTATGGCTGGTGCGACTTATACTCCGGAGCGACTTATAGTCCGGAAAATACGGTATGTTAAAAATATTGAAAACTTGCTCAAAGCAAAATATATTTTCATTAAGGAAATAACTTAGAAACTTACCGATTCAATATTTTTGAATCCACAGAAAGATAGTTTTCATGAAAAAGCGCCGCAAACCTCCACACAAACTCCATGTGAGCTTCAGATCGTTGGTGTTCCACAGAGTTAGCTCCGGTTGTAGCTAGGTAGCTACCTCCATTAGCTTAGCTCCCACCCCCGCGTTGGCTTTAGGTTAGCTTGTAGCTACATTAGCTTCAGTTCGACCGGGTGTCGTCATTTGATCCCAGCCTTACAGCCTCACCGTAAGCTCCACCTCTCTTCCCTTTTGTGGAATTGTCTGGGCTTGACGGAACCTGCGACACAGTCAAAATGGCGGTGGTGGCCACCTCCCATTTTAACTCAAAAATGTTTTATGTCCATATATATGTTTGTCGATGGTCCATCATAACCTGGCAAGCCATCTTCTATAATTTAGCCACGACCCACTCAGGACTATGGACAGCACTAAGACCAATCAGAGCAACAAAACATGACATCTTTCCCACTACGGAAATTGGTCAACGGGACAATCTGACACACACACACACACACACACACACACACACACACATATATATATATATATATATATATATATATATATATATATATATATATATATATATATATATCCTCATTCAGAAGTTGAGCCCATCCTGACAACTTCAAGTCATTTATTCTCAAGTTTCAGTGTCCCCTCTGCAACTGAGATATCAAATTTCATCAGGGAATCTAAATCATCCACCTGTCAGCTTGGCCCTCACCCCACAGTGCTACTTAAAGCTTGTCTTCCATCATTGGTTCCTCTCATTTCTACTATCATATAATCTTCCCTCAATACTGGAGTTGTTCCTACAGCATTAAAAACTGGCTGTATCACTCAGATTCTCAAAAACCCGGTGCGGATCCCACCAACTCTGATAGTCTACGTTCAATATCTAAATTACCATTTATCTCCAAAATCCTTGAAAAAGTTATTGCTTCTCAGCTTCACTCTTACCTTAATTCGCATAGTCTATATGAACAATCCCTATCTGGTTTCAGACCCCAACATAGCATGGAGACTGCACTGGTAAAAATCACTAATGATCTACTAAAGACTAAAGACAGTGGAGAGGAAAACTCCTTTTTAACAGGAAGAAACCTCCAGGGGATCCTGGCTCAGCATAAGCAGCCATCCGCCACGACTCACTGGGAATGGAGAAGACAGAGCAGACACACACATACACCAAGCAATGTGTCTATGGTTACATTGTGATTTCTTAGTAAATATTCTATTTGGCGAGAGATAAACTTTATTGTATTTATCCTAGTGAATCTATAATTAAATGGGTAAACTAGTATTAGCACATCCAACGTCAAGGAAAGCAAAAAGTTATTATCAGGAGAGGGAGAATGTTTAAGTGGTTAGCAGCAGTGTGCTAGACGATGGCCCCCTCCATGAGGCCACCACAGCTCAGCAGAACATCATTGTAGCTTCTTCTGGGGAGAAAAACACTTCTAACTATAAAGTTAACAGCTGAAATTGCCGAAAATAATACAGTGAAAGAGCAGATTGTAGAAGAAAGTAGTAGAGTGTGAAAAGTGGTCAGTGTATCCTCCAGCAGTCTAAGGCCTAGTCCACACGCCCCTCCAAAAACTTGCATCCACACCACCTCGTTTAAAAAAAAAACTCTGTCCACACGTAGCCATTTATGTAACCCTGGTCCCACATAGCTATGGTAAAGCTAGAGTATATAGTACAATGAGACTGGGCCTAGGTTCGTAGTGCTATAAATAATGGTATCCGATACTCTCTAAAATTAGTTAATAAGGACCACCACACTGTATTTTACCCAAATTCAAATCTCTCACTGGGTATTTATTTAAACAACACAAAAACAAATAAATTAAACACTTACTTTTATAAAATGAAATGAATTGAATTTAAATAAACAAACAAAACCACGGTGAAGGTGACGGCATGGGTTATAATAAAAGATTTTCAAAACAAAATATAGCTTTCTTAGGTGCCTAATGTTATTTCGGTTACAACCGTTCACACCTTTAAAAGAAAATGAATTTCAACCCTTTTAAATACCTTTGATGACAAATACACACTTACAGTTTAATCAAACTTGTAACAGTGGGCCCACACTCTCACACACACCTTTACCCTATCCAAACTACTAAAGATTATTTATGAGATTTCAATGATTTGCTTTATTAAGTCTGATATTTAATCTGTGTGATATTGGCCGTGGGCAGGACACTGTCTCTATGGGGTAGTGGGTGGGTAACAGTACAGAAGCTGCAGAGGGGTGTGTTAAACTACGACTCTGCTTCCTGGTCTGGACCCTCGGTTGTCATGGAGGACTAATAAAACTGGCCATGTTCCTAGAAAGAAGAGCTGCTCCATCCAAAGTGGGATGGATGCCGTGTCTTCGCATCAGACCAGGTATCCCCCAAAAAGTTTTCCAATTATCAATGTAGCCCACGTTGTTTTCAGGACTCCACCTAGACAACCAGCGGTTGACAGCATGCGGCTAAACATGTCGTCACTGGTCCGATCAGGCAGGGGGCCAGAGAAAATTACGGAGTCCGACATTGTTTTGGCAAACTTACACACCGAAGCAACATTAATTTTAGTGACCTCTGATTGGCGTAACCGGGTGTCGTTACCGCCAGCGTGAATAACAATCTTACTGTATTTACGCTTATTCTTAGC